CCCCCCCCCCCGCCTCCCTGGTCCATCCTGTAGCCGAGTCTCTGCGCGTGTGTAACCTGTCACCGGGCTCGGTGTACGAAATCCGCGCCTTCTCCGGCATCAGCATGAGCCACTCGCCGTCGCCAGCGGACGAGTTCCTCCGGTCAACCGGCGACCCGGCCGGTCTTACGGTCAGCGGCCGGACCACCTCGGCCAAGCAAGACAACATCCTCTGGGAGACCGTCGGCCGGGTGGCCTTCATTGCCACGCAGTCGTGTCCCTCCGGGTGGTACACGGCCATCGACAAGAATGACCCGAATCGCGGGTACTGCGGCTCCTGCAGCTACATGTGCGCCGAGTGCGTCGGCCCGACGGTGGACGATTGCACGGCCTGTGCCGCGGGCCTGGTCCTTGTCCGGCCTTCCTCCGGCTCCGGCGAGGGTAGCTCCTCGGGCCCCGGCAATGGCGGTGACCCCGGCCGGGGGACTTGCATCACCCCGGTGGCGCTGGCCACCTTCTTCCAGCAGCTGAACATCTTCGCCGTGGCGGTGGCCGTGTTGCTGTGGCTGCTGGCCGTGGTCATGGGGCTGGTGGCATACTCCAAGATGGCGCATGTGCCCATGTCCCTGGTGGCCGTGTGCCTGGCCCTGGCGGACTTTGCGCTGGGCATCTTCTTTGTGCTCTTGGGCCATGCGCGGTCCTGGCCCACCGGCATCCGGCCAGACAATTTGTCCAGCCCGAGCAGCGGCCCGGACGATGGGCTCGGCAGCGACGACATGCAGGGGAACTTCCTGTCGGAGGAAACCTCCCTGGTGTCGGCGCCGCACTCGCTGGCCATGGGGCTGCTGCTGGGGCTGTCGCTCTTCGGCGGTGCCTTCTTCGGTCTGATTCAAGTGCGCAAGGTGACCAACTTGGATTCCAAGTGGGCGCGGCAGAACCACGCCGCCGCGGCGGCCGTGGCCCTGCTCACCGGCATGAGTCCGTATGCCATTTTGGTGCTCGGCTGCCGGCTCTTCGGGCTGGATCTGCTGTCGGCCAAGTTGACCCCGGCCATTCGCCGGGGGACTGCCATTGGGGCATTGATTGTCCTGGGAGCCGGGACCTGGCTGCGGGCCGGCGTTTGCGTGGACTACCTCTTCCGGGTGGCCCTGCGCTCGCGCGTCGTCCGCCAGGGGGATGTGTCGCTGCTGTCCAAGACCCTGGACGAGCCGGCCGCCGTGCCGGTCCTGCTGCTGGTGTCGGCTGGCATGCTGACGGCCGTGGTCCTGTGGCAGAGCCTGGTGTTGATCTGGTCGCGGGGCATCATCGAGCAGGATCTCCCACCGGGTGGCTCCGGCGGGGCCTATACCCAGATGGGGACTCTCCGTAAGGAGCACAGTCTGGAGGAGGAGGCGGCCGCCGCGGCCCTCACCACCTGTTCGGAGGTGAGCCAGTCGTATGGCGCCCCGGGTGACTGCTTGGCAGCTCCCGCGACAGCGGCCAGCAGCCGGGCCCCGTCGCCGCAGCCAGCCTCTCCCGGGCCCTCTTCCCCTCCGCCAGTGGCCGCTGGCTGGCAGTTTGCCCCTCCCCGCGCAGTGTGTCCTTCGATATGTCGGCCGAGTCGGCGCCCGCGGAGTGTCTAACCCCCGGGTCGCCGCCACCGGCTCCGCCGCCTCGTGTCCGGCCTCAAGGCCCGGCCATCACCATCAATGACGAGATGGTCGACCCGGCCACTGGCAGGCCCACCGGCCAGCCGCATGTCACCCTCTCCCGGTCGGCGTCCGATCAGTCGGACAACATCCCCCAAGCTCAAGCCGGACATCTGCTGCACAGCCCGCGGGCCGGGTCTTCGCGCGCCTCCTCCATCACTTCCCCCTTGCGCCATGGATCGTGGCTGGTACCGCCATCCCTGCCGGGTGATGGTACTGGCGCTGTGTCGACGGACGAATTCGATGCCTAGTCAGGCATATTCCTCACACACACACCCTCCTTCCCTGCCCTGCTGGCTGTCGTCTCGAACAAGACCAGGCGTGCGAGTCCCTTCTTCTGCCTTCTCCTCTACCCTGCCACTTCTTGGCGCCCCCCCCCCCCCCTTTCAGGGCCAATCAACTGCTTCACATCTATGCCCGTCCTTGTGTCGTGGGGGCACGCCCATGTCGTCCCCCCCCCCTCCCCTTCCAATAAATGGATTTGTTCTTTGTTCACCAGAGCCCTCTCTCCACACACACACACACACACACACACACACACACACACAGACACATAAGCCTGCACGCTGGCAGACGAGAGGGAGGGTGGATATGGGAATTGATGTCTATTGAGTCCTCCTCGCCTCGGTGGAGGGGAAGAATGGATATGAAGGGGGAGGGGAGCGGAGAAGAGGGCCGGGGTAAAATTACACAAGGGGAAAGGCGGGAAAGGGGGACTCCGCGCCGAGGGGAGAGGGGGCCGCGACCGACTGGGGCGCAGGCAAGAGAAAAGGAAGAAGAAAGGGGAGGGCAGGCGAATCAAGGCGCCGGGAACACCCACAGAAGGGCGCACGCAAAGCCGCACATTCGCCCGCCCGCCCGCCCGTCCGTCCGTCCGTCCGTCCGCATTACCCAAGCTCCATGAGGCAAGAGTAACGGGACGTAGGTGGATGGATCGGGGCGAGCAGCAGCAGCAGCAGCAGCAACAGCAACAGCAGCAACATGTGGCACAGAGAAAGCACACCCCTGGGGTGAAAGGAATACACGCAAGGGCAGATCAATCGCTGTCGCTGTCATCGAACTGGACAAAGTCCGACTTACGCAGGGCGCCTCCGCGCCGAGTCGAGCCCCTCGGCGCAGCCTCGCCGTCGTCATCCTCATCGCCGGTCTCCTCGTCGCCGTCGCTGTCCAGGTCATCGTCCAGATCGTCGGCCGTCAGCAGGGCATCCTCATCCTCGTCGCCAGCGCCATCGGAAGCCGAGTCGGCATCCTCCTCGTCGCTGCTGGAGCCGAGCTCCTCGTCGTCGACATCCGGCGCGGCCAGCTCGGTGTTGGTGGCCGCCGCGTAGATGGCCTTCACCTGCGCGGCGTACTTCACCTCCAGCGCCTCGAGCTTCTCCAGACGCTGACGCAGCTGCAGCAGGCGCTCAACCACCGGGTGCTCCTGAATGCGCACATAGCTGGCATCCATCGACGAGCGGAGGTGGAAGTAAAAGCCAAGGTTCATCAGGTAGGAGAGGAGAATCTCTGTGGTCGTGGGGGACGGGAGGGGAGAAGCGAACAGAAGGAACGGTTAGACACCGAGCACGCCAGACCGGATGGCCCTTCACACCGGACGACCGAATGGCCTCCTCCGGTCGGGCCGACGTCAGGACAATAGCAGGAGCCCCAAGCACGCACGATACTTCACCTGAATGATGCTGGGAGTGGAGGGGCCGTCCGTAGACTGGGCCATGGCATCGACCGCGGGCTTCAGCACACTAATGGCCTCCTCATGGAAGTCCCGGAACTCGGAAATCAGCCCGGCCAGCTCCGGCGCGTGGCGGTGCACCAGGGCCCGGAGCTGATCCGGAGTCACGTCCACCGGGTCGACCTCAAGCGTGTCA